ATACCTAACTGCACTGAATTTCCATGATGAAAGGAAAAGAGTAAGAAGACAGACAATTTCTTCTAAGAGCCAATATGAAGCAGAAGGAAAGATGGGGGACGATGTTTTATCAATTGTAGTGGTTTATGTCAGGTAGATCATGATGGAAATAGATGAGAGCAGGAAGGCAACTGCCCTAGGAAGATGTATTATTGCATTGTTACAAAATCCAAAGAGAAACAACTACTTTAATTTAGGGACAGAAGAAAATTTATTATTAAAAAAAAAGGGTGCGGTATCTATAAGATATCAACCTTAAATACTCAATGTAAAGCGCATCGTTAAATATCCTTAAAAGATGCAGTTTCGGGACCGAAAACCCCTGTGATGACGTAAAAATCTACAGTGCACCTTACTTTTGCGGTATAATGTTGACCCCTTCCATAAACGTTTTCTTAAAATAAAGAGAAAAAATACTAAACCACATGACTTTCAGCAAAGATGAAGGTGATGAACCAAAGCATGATACTGTCTACGCACTCGAAAAGCAATGATGTTCTTTTTCCTAAATCATGGAATCATAGGACCAAGGAGAACAACAAAGACCTTATCAAAGAAAAGAAACTACCATGGTGGACCTTTTGATAGAAATAGAGATAAACCTATCTAAATGGTAAAAGGACTGAATAGATAGAGATGAAAATCATTGACAGTGAAGGTCATACATAATTCCACCAATCGGATGGCTTTTAGGAACCATCTCATTCTGGCTATGGGTGAATGCATAAAACCATTAATGGGCTCCAGTAGGACCCAAGGGCTTGCTTTGAGACCTTGAATTCTAGTACCAAGAAAAGCACCACAAATAATGGAGCATTGTGTTGGAATGGATTATATAAACACAATTCCTTTTTACAAAGTACCCAAATGCCCCCTTAACAATTTCAATGGTCATAAATGCAATTCTCTTTGCTTTCACAAGTAATTGTAATAAATAAAGAAAAATCTGGTGTAAGCCCACTAAACTACCGCTACATATGAGTCCAACGGTCCAGATTCAATCTAAACTAATCTGATGGTCACAACCTCATTTCGTATTTTAATTTTAATTATTTTTTACAAATCTAAATCGTATGAAATTTTAGACGATATTCTTCTCATCAAGGCTCATCTAATAAAATATTAAAAAAATAATTCATAAAATATAAATTGACCAAAATACCCCTAAAAAGTTTCAGGGCTATTTTGGTTTATATATTTTTTGCAAATTATTTTTTTGAAATTTTATTAAATTCTCCTATTTTTAAAGAACACACACTCAAAATTTCAAGTTATTTGGATTTATAGAAAAATATTAAAAATTAAATATGAAATGTAATCATGATCACTGGATGGCCCAAATTGAATCTGGGCCATTGGGCTCATATGTAGTTGTAATACCCACTAATCGGGCTAAGTACTCAGCCCATGCCCGATCCCATTACTCAAACTGAGTCTAAATATCTTGGCCCCAGTAGTGCCAAGTACTGTAGCATCAAGAAAACTGTTAAAAAATATAAAAAATCCAAAAAAAAAAAAAAAGGAAATGTATGTTTAAAGTCAAATTATGCAAAACACATCAAAATGGGATTAAAAAAGTAGTAAAAAAAAAAAATAATAGATTTTAAAAAAGGGAAAAGTTTATATAGAGCCGAGGCTCTAAGCAATTAAATTAGATCCCACATCAAATTTCATTAGAAGAGGTTGTTCTGATGCCCAAATATGCTCAAATTAATCATCTCGACATCAAGACGCATGGACAAGAGAAGAAAATGGATTTCAAATTTTGGAAATAGTATATTTTGTAACGCACTTTTTGACCTTCAATTTGCAATATTTTCAAGTTTTCATAGATCTGTCAATCTCCACTATTTTTTAAGCTTTAAACTTTATAAATAAAGATAAAAATATATTTTAAGGCTATCACAAATATTTTCAGTATTGAAACCATATATCTCGACATGTTTTGAAGGTAGGCTCTAATTTGATTGTTTAGAGCCTAGGCTCGATACAAACGCCGTCTTTAAAAAATCAACTTGTGATTGGGGGTATTTTCTAAATAATCCAAAACAATGGAAAAAATATAAAAAATAAGTATTTATAGCCAAAACACTTTCCCATCTTTACCAAAATGATAGAAAACATGAATAAAAAAATATTCCAAATAAATTTCTTATTTTTCAGGATTTTTTTAAAAAAATTTAATATCCCCAAGTTGGACACCCAACTCGAGCTCTGCAAGGGCCAGAGCTCGAGTAACTCGACTGAGTAAAAACTACTTGGCCGACTTTCGTGATCATCACATTCTCTATGGTTCTCTTGTACCTCCTTACATCCGGGTACCCTATATGAGTATCCTCTCCCCGTTTCCACCTCCGTACCGTCCATACTTATACCCTTTTTCAAGGGTTATCACATGAAAAGAAAAAAATAAGAGTTGCGACCCTAGAACCTTGGTTCTTCTCACACACACAAAAAAAGTAAAGAGTTGCAACCCTAGATCCTTGGTTCTTCTTGCTGGCGCTATTGATCCCCCCAGAGAATAGTCAACACAAGTCACTTGCATTGAAACTTCACTCTCAGTCACACAATCCAGCTTAGTATGTAAATCAGGGTTGTGTAACTCTTCTATTGCCCTGCATCCCCTTTCCCCTTACCTCTGAAACTCTCCATTCTTTATCCTTGTGCCCATACAGTGGCCAACTTTTATAAAGTTAACAGATAATGGCTTGAGAATCACAACAACGGGCTTGGGAATCATCCAGACTAAGTTCCATATATAAAACCAAGGTCATAAACATTCTAAACTTCTCACGAGGAGTGAAGGTAACCAGAACTTTGAGAATTTAACTCGTTGTAGTTAGCCCATGTGACAGTAGTTACAATGTACAGATACAGTACGTTTACATAGTGTATAAGAAGAGTTTTAAACAACAGTGAGTTAACATGGGACTCTCCACTGAATCTCAATGCTTTGCAAGACTCAGTGCATCTCGAAAGATTCAGCCTCATCACACTGATCTGGGCAGCTGTCTCAAAAGACTCGGCTCTGCCTCACTGATCTGACTTTGTTTGGCACATGACAAGTCAATCAACTCTGCACTTTTACCCTTCATGCATAGCGGTAGAAAGATTTGTAATTATTTAATGCCGCTGTGCCTTCAGTTACTTCTATAATTTTAAGGTCATTTACCACGATGTGTGCAAGTATAATCTATGGTATTCATTATATCAAAGAGAATCATTCAAAAATTTTCACACATATTTACATGGCATGAAAGATTTAGTTCTTAAAACCTTCTCTGGCGAATACATAGGTTTCAGATACGCTGATTTTCATGCGATCATAAGTCAACATCTCATTAATTTCACAGGACCAGCACCCCTTAGCCCTAAGCCTTGCTTGACAGAGAGTCCATATAAAGATCAGGAGGAATACTCGCAATTGGGCTTCAAAAGTGTATTATTCATGGCATCTGTTCTTCAACCCAAACTAATTGTCTACTACATAATCTTATATACAATTGGAATGGATGCCTACAGACCATATAATCTACGACAGGGTACTGTGACATCAATGGAACAAATATAAGAAACAAGTTTCTACATTCAGTACAAAAGAGGAATAAAAAGTGCAAACTCTTTTGTGCGGAGATATTTTGCATTCAGGCTCCACAACATAGCAGGAGTTTGCATTCATATTCTCCAACACCTCTTTATTGTCATACTCTGAATTCTACTAAACCAGTCGCAGGATTAATGCAGAAATGTCGACTGAATTAGGCAGTGCAGCCCCTTTGAAATGGAACAGGAAGTATGGAGCAGTCAATATAAGGAGGTATTAATGCATATGATAGCAGCACCATGTAAATACAGGTCCTACAAAATTCATAGGATAGATTAGGATTGAGCTGGGAGTCGAGGAGGATTTGCAGCTTGCCTATGCGGAGATAAAAACATTATCATATGCACCAAGAATATTCGAAGAGTCCTTTAGGGACCCCTGAAAATAGGTGGTGACTCTCTTGATATGATTGAATGTGCTTGAAAGGAACCCCTTGCCCAAAGAACATAGCAAACATTATTGAGGAGATTCTAGATTTTGTGTGTAGGAGATTCCATTTCAGCAGGTGCATAGGTAACTAAATGAAGTGGCTGATCAGTTTCTCCAAATGGGGTATAAATGTGTAAAATTTTCCCGTTTCTTGTGATATCACCATTCATTTATTATGCCTCTTGTACATATAACTCAGCCATTTTTCAAACCAATTTAGTTTGAAGAACAAAGCACACATAAACGGAATGTAGAAGTTAATTAACAGAAAGCAATAACCGTCAAGACTTCTTTCTCATAAGTCCCTTCATGAGAAATATCACTTTTTTGAAATCCACAATGCTCTCTAAGTTTTGCATTATGTGTTTTTTCGCTCCTAAATAAGGATTTCACTCATACTTTTCACTCACCAAAAAAAGGGAAAAGTTTATATAGAGCCCAGGCTCTAAACAATCAAATTTGAGCCTACCTCAAAAATTTCACTAGAAGAGGTTATCACTAGAAGAGGTTGTTTTGATGCTCAAATATCTTCAAATTGTTCATCTCAATATCAATATGCATGGACATCAGAAAAAAAATGGATTTCAAGTATTGGAAATAGTGTATTTTGTAACACAATTTTGAACCGTCGATTTTCAAGATTTTCAAGTTTTCATAAATCTATCGATCTACACTATTTGTTAAACTTTAAATTTTATAAATAAATATGAAAATATATTTTAAGGCAATCACAAAGATTTTCAATAATGAAACCACATTTCTCGATACTATTTGAAAGTAGGCTCTAATTTAATTGTTTAGAGCCTAGGTTCTATACAAAAAGCACCCCTAAAAAAAAGCTGTCTTTCTTTATATCCATTTCTACTCATTGTACTTTAGTTGCCAAAACCAAAAGTTAAATAATAACAATTTAGAAGAGAGATAGATAGAGAGAGAACAAAAACAACAAATGATTCAAGAATATCCAAAATCCCAAAACAAACAGAGAGACCTCAATATTACAAGCTTCTTGTGAAGTAACAAAACTGCATATGCATCAAGAAAATTTCTAAGCATCCAAGATTTACATACCTGTAATTCCCACTGTCACATATGAAACAAAAAACCCATAGCTTCCTCCAAAGATATTGCTCCCACCTCAAAACAGGGTTATGATGGCAATCCGTGAAAAGCATAGCGCACATCTGCAGAAATCAATCTGTTCCCCACTTCCTTATCACACTCTCTTTTGCCGAAAGCTTGTTTGAAGAAATCTCATTTGCTGCTTCATTGGACTCAGGCTCCAATGATGATCTTCGATTAAGTAAGAGAAATATGGATCTGAAGTTGTTTCTAGTTCCACGTAATACCAACAGCAAGGAATTGCAAACAACAGCAAGCAATACATCGCCCTTGGCAACCAAGAGATACTGTTAACCAGAAAAGAGAGCCCATCAAACCATAGAATCATAGATATACGCATATAATATGCTTGTTGATACGTTACTACTTTGGAAGAATTTGTGGAAAATCACTAAGTTTCAAACAAGGTATTAAAAAGCAGTAGGCGCGGTTGGGGGGAGGGCACCTGTATATAATATATGTCTACCAGGGTTGTAAAAGATGCCCATCTGTGGTTCGAGATCTCCCGATCAAGATAGGAAATCATTACTAGATGGTCCAGTTCCCCAATGGTATCAGGAACCGGCCAAGTCTTGTTGTGGATCATTGTTTCCTATTAGATAATCGGGGATCCACTATTATGGAATTCATGGATCAATTGATCCACTAATAATTAAGACTTTTTAATCTTTTTCAACTTTTACAAATCAATAGTTCTTTGAAACTATTGATCGTTGGGCTATACTAAAACCTCGATCGAATGCAAAATTCACTAAAATTGTTTCCCAAGATCATTTGTAGCTAAAATTACTGTTTTTGTGAGAAAAACAGTACTTTTTTTTTTTGGCTGTGTTTTGAGAAATTCGCCAAAGATCAAAAATCTCATTTAATTTTAAGCTAAATTCTTTAAGATTTGGTTCTACATTATCCTAACTGAACCTTTTACAAGATCAAATGTTCAATTTAATTAATAAAACCTCAATTTTATATGGATCTGGCCAGAAAATATTTGGTTTTAATTGCAGTTGTGTTCTGGAAACCCGCCAAAGATCAAAGTTTATACTATATTTTCTGCAAATTGATGAGGGAGTTTAGGATCTAGGAGGAGCCTGGTTTCTTCTACATCAGGTATCTATATCATGGTTTCATTGTAATTTTGAAAATACACCAAATCATTGGTTTCTTCTTCGATTTTGAACCAAATTTGTTCAAATTTGATTCAAATGAAGCTTCATTAATCTCTCAACAATTTTTTTTTTTTTTTTTTAAATGTTAACTTTCTCTCGACAATATTATTGATCCAATATGATAGATCTAAATCAATTATTATCCCAAAAACAAAAAATCTCCGCTGTTTCCTAAAAAGTGCACTTTTAAAAAAACAAAAATAAGTTGCTAAAAGTTCGCTAAACTTTTCTTAGGGGCTTTGTTTGATCCCTCATTGGGAAGAATAAATGATAATAAATTAATTTCTTTCGTTTGTTTTATAATATCATGATTTTTCTTGGCTTTATTTTAATTATTCACTAAATAAAAGCTCACATTTTTTAAAAAAAATTATTTTGATATTTTAGTGTGAAATTTTATTAGGGATTTTGATTTACAGGGTCTATATTATTTTTTTATTGAATTTTTTAACCTTTATTGATTTTACTTTACTTTATATATTTTATTTTGTTTTACTATAAAATAAAATTTCTTTAAAAAGTTTAATATTTTTATGTTTATCAATTATTATAATGGAGTGTATAATTATTTTTTAAAAATTGTTATATTGAATATTATAATTGTTTTTCTTTTTAAACTTATTGCGTATTATAATTGTTCAATAATGTAACAATAAAATGGATAAAAATTATTAAAATAGAACGTATAAAATATTAAATAATACAATTAATTTTTGTAATTGCAGTCTCTATTCCAATAAAATGTTTATTTTTTTAAAACAGCACTATCATGTAAATTGTAGTTATATTTATTAGAATAGAATGTATAGAATTTTAAATATTGATAATTGCTTTTTGTAATTGTAAATCTATTAAAAAATAATGTTAAAAATCACTATGTTGTAAATTGTAATTCTCAATTTATTAAAATTGAAAGTACAAATTTCTAAATACTTATTTTTTTGTAATTGCAGTATTTCTTGCAAAAGAATGTATAATTTTTTTTTAAACAAAGTATTATCTTGTAATTTTAATTGTTATATGTATTACCTCAGAATATATAAAATTTAAACAAATAATAATAATTGTAATAGTCTTTTTTTATAATATAAAATTAGACTGTTAGTAAACAAGTTTTTAGATCATTCCAATAAAGTATAACATTTTTGTTTGTGCACTTAATAGAGTATTCATATCAAAATATTCATATTCTTTCAAATTCTTCACCACGTCTAACAATTTTGGTTTGTCTTTTGTCCCTTTGATAGTATGGTTTCCATTTATTCACTATATCTCAACCTAAAGACGACCCTATACGACAACATGGGGTCAAAAAACACCCAAATAAAAAGGACAAATTTATATGTAACTTTTGTTACAGGTGATCAATAGTGCGATAAATAGGTTTAATCAACACGCTGTGGTCAACACTTGGCTGTGATCAGGGGTAAGGTTGCCGCATGTATTGATGTTCATAGCAATGTGATGAAGCAGATGGCCGTTCTTCGTAAGGCCAAAAAGGGTAAGAAGATTGCTAAACAAAGGATGGATGAGAAGATTGCAAGCCTCTATATACTATCCAATGGAATGGGAGCAGATGAGCGATTCCACCTCAACATGACTTTGTGATGAGAGCAAGCATGGAAGAAGAGCAACATGGGTATATATAGTAGATATGGAGGTACAGCATCGGCATGTATGGAAGAGCCAGTATGGGCATGTTTGGAGGGGCCTGTGGTAGAGGGTCGTCTGGGGCTACCTCTTCCCATGCATCACATGTCGAAAAAACTACTCTTGGCTTATCCAGGAATGCTAGTGCCATGGAGACTAGTCGAGGTGCACATAGTAGACCTACTCGGCCCATGGCTCCAAGTCATGTCTACCCATTCCTCTTCAAGACTAGGTGGCAATAGATGAACATCGCCCGTAGCTGTATTACAAGTGCAAGGGGCAGTGAAAAGTTACTCGAAAATGGTTTTATGATGAAGGGATGCCCTTCAATGCAACCAACAGCCTATATTGCGGGCCAATGATCATTGCCATTCAAAAGGGTAGGGGTCTAAGGATGAAGTCTCCTTCGGCATACAAACTCAATGAGCCAATCTTGGATGAGGTAGAGAATGTTTGAAAATTCATTGGGGACTTTAAGGGGTGTTGCAAGAATGGGTATGAGTGACGGCTGGAGGATATAGCCAATCAGAAAGGTTATCTAAATTTTGTGGATTATTTCGCACATAGGACAACCTTCTTGTCTAGCAAGGAGGTTACAGGGGTAGGGAAATAAGTGAAGTTCTTGACAGAACTAATGGATCAAATAATTGTGGTGGTAGAGAAGCATGTAGACCAGATTATCACCAATTATGCTAAGGGTATGGGATACTGTAGGGTTGAAGTTAATGCTCAAAAGGAAGCATCTGGTGCAGACCCCCTGTGTTGCCCGCTGCAAAGACCTCATGTTAGAGGAGATAAGCGAGATTGAGATTCATTTATAACCATGCCAAACTCCTTCCATTGATGAGACATCACACTGAGAAGAAGGACCTAATCAAGTCTACCATCACCCGCTTCGTGACAAACTACTTGGTCGTAGATTCTATTCTATAGCCGCAAGCCATATTGAAGAGGGTTTTTACCTCTGAAGAGAGGGTGAAAGACCGCCTCTCAAGATCCCATGAGGGCATGAAAGTGAAGGGCATAGTCATTGACAATAAGTTTTGACCTAAGTGTGTCAGCATTGTGGAGTCATAGCTCCTTTGGCGACATTGTTAAGGCTGTTGAATGCTGACAAGAAAGTCGCCATGAGGCTCCTCTATGAAGGGATCAAATGAGTGAAGGCGGCTCCTCTAGAGAAGTGCAAACAAAGTGGTAAAGACCATTGAGAGAGGGTGGAATGACTAGTTGGGTAAACCAAGTCACTATGCAGGTAAATGCTTATTTATACTTTTAAGAATTTAATTATTTAAATATTTCATCATTGTGAGGATAAATAATATCTCCATCTTAGGGTTATCTCGGTTTCTACTTCTATCGCAAATATTTCTACTAGACATCTGTCATTGCCAACAAGGTTATGAAAGGGGTGAAATACCTCATTGGACGAATGGGGAGAAGCTATAGGAACTAAATACAGGCACTGACGGAGGTAAAACTTAACCTTTGAAGTAAGAAGAAATTTGTGGCATCTAATTAAAGAACTAAAACATGATTTTTTCTCAGCTTTCTATTTAAATTTTGATGCAGAAGGCTCATTCCCAACAAGGCTTCCTAGGTTTTCTCGCAATGCGATGGATTCATATCATCTATTAACTATTATGTGTTCTTTCACATCATTTACATTATGAAATATTTTAGCCCTTTCTCACAAGGCCCATGGCAATTTATTTAATTGTATGGTGGGAGATACATGGTTATGACGCACGTCATTTAAGGAAGATAGCAATCAAGGTGCTTTATCAATAATGTTATAGGGTGTAAGAAAAAGTAGGAGTGGTAACTTCAAAAGCTCGTATATGTTCATTATAATTTGAACCACATAGAGTGAAAATAAGTAAGAAAATTGAGAATAAAAACCCAATTGATCTAGATGCAATATTTTTCATAGATATAGCCTGAGCAAAGGGTGGTGGAAGAGGAGGAGCCAATGCTATATAAGAGAGCATGAAGATGATGAAAAAGATGTCGATGAGGAAGGAGGAGTCATCAGCCAATATTTGAGCAATTCATAGATGTAAGTTATCTTTTACCTATTGAAGCAGAGGGGGATGGAGATTGGGAGAGAGATGAGAGAGAAAATCATTATGAGGCCGTGCAGTCCCAACCAAGATACACGGAGCTCGAGCCCCAGCAGCAGGAGCATGAGAGCGAGCATGAGGGATACATGAGAGCAAGCATGAGGAATGCACAAACATGGGGATTTTGAGCTAGGAGGGCAGTTCACCAGCCTTGGGTTATCGAATTTAGTCAGTCAGATACGAGTTTGAAATCCCAGATTTTGTACATGAATTGGTTCTACAAATCGTCTCAAAAAATCAATGAGTGGAAGACAATGTGATCAAGAGGAAGAATATTGTCTTTCGTTTTCATATTAGGTTGTATCTTCATAATTGTATGCTCTTTTTGGATTATGTACTCATATTCATGAT